GGTGGGAGTGTAAAATGGTGCAACCACTGTGGAAAGCATTGTGGCGCTTTCTCAAAAAGTCGCAAATAAAGATACCATTTAACCCAGTTTATCACGGCTTTGTTTACAATAGCAAGGAGTTGGAAACAACCTAAATGCCCATCAACAAACGAATGGATTTTTTTTTATCCTCTCTGGTGATTTAGTTGTAAGGATTTGTGCTGCCAGTGCAAAGATACGTGGTTCGAATCCACTAGCAGCTCCATAGGAGAAGCATGAGAAATCTCCTCCCATGAGATTTATTGCCTCTGAAAATTCACCTGTGGGTCAGCTCAGTGGTACACAACAGCAATGTATAGTATTATGCCATCTCCTAAAAGGATATTAAGAAAGTTTTGAAATGAAAACTTGTATTCCTCCTTTCTTAATTTAGATTTGATTTCTTTTTATTTATTGCCTGATTTTCTGACTAGAAGTTATAGTAACTTATTTAATAGCAATGGTAAGATTGTATACATCCTAATTGTTCCTAATCTTAATGGATAAGCTCTTCTCTTTTTTTAAAATAAATATCCTTTATCAGATCAATTAATTTCCCTTCATTCAAAGGTTTAAGAGTGTTTATTATTAAAGTGTGTTGAATTTTGTCTAAAGCTTTCTCTGCGTTGAGATGAAAAATTATCTTACATTTTTCTCCTTATGTGATGTATTACACTGATTGGCAAAGTTGAACTACCTTTGCATTCTTGGCCAAATCCTCCTGGGTCATGATGTTTAATATATTTTTGAATTTCGTTTGCTAGTGTTTTATTGAGATTAGCCCATAAGTAGACATCTTACTCTAGTTTGCCACTAACTTTTGACTTTAGAAGGGACATATATCATAGTTTGCAATATCATAATTTCCCCTTGAGAGCTAGAGACCAGAATTCTGGAAACGTAGTCTGTCCTGACTATAAGATATTCTCTAAGCCCACGGGTGAGCTGGGAGGATAGGGCATATGCTCATGAAAAAGCAAAGCGTTCCTACCATTTTGAAGTCACATTTTTCTTTTTTTAAATTTTATTTGTGTGTGTGTACCATCAAATCGGATCTGACTGGCACAGGAGGAGATTGTCCCTCCTTCTCCAGCAGAGCATCTGGTGGATTTGAACCACACACCTCTGGGATTGCAGTACAGCTTCTTGCCACTAGGCAACCAGAGCTCACCATACATTTTTCTTGAGTAAGCATTTACTTAATTATTGTAATCCTCTGATTAGTTTCCAGAGTTCTTACAAAGTTAGTTCTACCAGTTTCTGCCTGTTTGTGTGTTTTGCGGTGGGTTTTTCTTTTTCCTTTTTTTTTACTTTCTAGAAGGAGGATGGGAGTGTGCAACTATTTAAGCCACCATCTTGTTCCTCCTTTGTGCTTTGTAAAACTTTAAATTTTAGTGAAAAAGTTTATTTTCTTCTTGTTCAACAGTGTAAGATGAATGGAATGCAAGCCTTTCCTCAAGGTCTTAATGAAAAGCAGCAACATCAATCTCCAGTTAAAAAAGGTAGTTTTAAATGTCATTATTGAATGTCTTAGCATTCTAAGCTAGTATTGCTTTACTACTTGGTAAAGTTAATACTGCTTTACTATTTTGCAGAAAAATTTATACAAGAAATTTTACTATATTCTTTTAGGCTAGTTTCTGTCTATACTAGTCAGGCAATTTGACTACTTAAAGGCAGAGACCAGAGTGACAAAGACTTCAAAAAGAGAAATTTTAGTTGGCACATGTTGAATAGGTATCTTGCCACTTCCCTATATTCATGTATTAATTCTAAAAGCTTTACTATGGAATTGAGATTTTCCATGTGTGGGATCATGCTCTCTGTGAAAACATAATTTTATTCCGCCTTTCTAATTGGTATCACCATTTATTTATTCATTCACTCACTCATTTATTCTAGGCTAATTGTTCTTAGTACTTCTAGAACAGTGTTGAATACAGTGGGTAGAGTTATTCCTGATTTAATGAGAAATTTCTCAGTCTTTCTCTTTTGTGTATGATGTTAGCTGTGAGTTTTCCCCATAAATACCCTTAATTATATTGAGGAACTTCCCTGCTGTTTCTAGCTTTAAAATTTTAAAAGATGCTGAATTTAGTCAAATGTTTTTCTTGGCTTTGATAATTGTGTGATTCTTTCCCTTTACCTAGTATTAAAGTATATAACTTTGATTTTCTGATGTCAAAATACCTTTGCATTCTTAGGTTAAATCCCAATAATTGTTAGGTACCATCTAACTACATACTGAGTTGAGTATGACTAATAGCGACCCTATGAACAAAGTATCTCTGAACTCTGTTTTATCCTGTACAATCCTCATACTTCCTGACACACAAGAGTCCATTTCAGCAGTCACAACATCAATTCACCTCGTCAAACGACATCTTCTCTTTCCCTGACCTTCCACCTTTCCTAGCATCATGTCTTTCTCCAGAGAATATCCCTTCCTAGCAACATGCCCAAAGTACGTGAGGCAAAGCCTCATCATTCTTGCCTCCGAAGAGCACTCTGGCTGCTCCCTCTCCAAAAAACACTTGTTGTTTTGGCTGTCCATGGGCTGTTCAGTACCTTTCTTCAACAATACAACTGAAAGGCATCAGTTCTTCTGTCACCATTATTCACTGTCCACTTCTCAAATGCATAGCAAGTGATCAGAAAGACTATGGCCTGAATCAGACATACCTTATTCCTCAAACTGACATCATTACTCCTTAATAATTTGGAGAGGCCCCTAGCTGCAGACTTCCCCAGTGCAATATGCCTCCTTATTTCCTGACTGCTGGTACTAAGGGTGTTAACTGTCAATTTAAGCAAGAGAAACTTGTTGACAGTTTCAATCTCTTCTCCATCCGTGATGCTGCCTATCAATCCAGTGATAAGAATCTTTGTTTTCTTGACATTGAGATACAATCCATGCTGAAGGCTGCATACCTTGACCTTCTGCAACAAGTGCTTCAAGTCCTCCTTACTTTCAGCAAGCAAGGTTGTCATCTGCATAATACAGGTTATTGATGTGTCTCCCTCCAATCCTGATGCCACGTTCTTTTTCTTAGAGTCTAGCTTCTCAAATATTTTGCTCAGCATACAGATTAAATAGGTATAAAGAGAGAATACAGCCCTGTCACACTCCCTTCTTAATTTTAAACCATGCAGTCTTCCCATGCTCTGTTTGCACAACAGCTTCCTGGTCCAGGTATCTGTTTCACATGAGCACACTTAAGTCCTCTGGGACTCCCATTCTTCTCAATGTCAGCCACAACTTGTTATGATCCACACATGATAATCCCAGTTATCATGGTGTGTAATCCTTTTAATAAGTTTTAGGATTTAGTTTACTAGTATTTTGTCGAGTATTTTCCTATCTATCCTTGCTGACCCAGTACCTTTTCAGCCTGATGCCTTTTTTCAAGGATTGGTTCTTTCTGATAACATGCCCAAAATGTATGAGATGAAAGCTTTGCCATCCTTGCCCTTCAGGAACATTTTGGTTGCACTTCCTCTGAGACAGATTTGTGTGTTCTTTTGGTAGTCCATGGTACAGGTAATACTCTTATCTAATACCATAATTCAAAGGCATTGATTTTTTTTTGGTCTTCTTTATTATTTAACCTTCTGATGCATAAGAAGCAATTGAACATTCCATGGCTTGGATCAGGTGCACCTTGGTCTTTAAACTGACATAATTGCTCTTTAGTATTGTAAAAAGGTCCTTGATTGCCTATTTTCTTGACTGTTACAACCATGGATGACGATTGTATATCCAAGTAATGAAATCCTTAATAACCTCAACCTTTATCTATCATGATTTTGCCTTTTGGTCCAGTGGTGAGGATTTTTGTTATAATGATAATAGAGGTACTCCACATTTAAGGCTGCAGTGTTTGATCTCCTTCAGGAAGTGGTTTGAAACTTACAGTAAAATATTCTTTTAGAGTAAAATATTCTTCTATAAATTTATGATAGAACCACCCAGGGAAACCATCTTGTCCAGGACTTCTAATTGTTGAGAAGATATTTGATTACTTATTCAATATCTTTACTTGTTATGTATCATTAGAGATTTATTACTACATCTTGAATCAATTTAGAGTATTTTTAAATTGGTTTGCATAAAATCATTCATATACATCAGTCATTCGTATGCTTTTTTTGTTTTTGTGAAAACAAAGATAACTGAGCAAGATATGTATAAATGTTCAAAAGAGGGAAGGAAAAAAAGGAAGAGGAAGGTGAGAGGAGGGGCAGAAAAAGAAGAAGGGAGAATACTAGGAGAGCAGAGGTTAGTGGGCGGGGTGAGTTGTAATAAGAAAGATGCAAAGGAGACTTGAAAAGATAGAATAGTAACAGGCATAGATCAATAATAATTATATAAAATACAATATATGAATGAGAGAGTTAGTGTTTTTTGTTTCAATAAATGTATCCCTTTCCTCAAGTTATGTAATATTTTCCTGTACAGCTGTTCATAACATTTCATTAAAATTATTTTTATTTTTGTTGTGCACCTACCATTATTTTTCAATTCTGGAATTTTCTCATTACCTCACAAAAGGAAGTTTATTATCATTCCCTCTTCCTTCTTCTAGACATCCATTGGTAAATATTGATGTGCTCTCTATAGATTTGCTGGCTTTGTACAATTCATATAGGTAGAATTATATAATATGTGACCTTTATATTTGGTTTCTTTCAGATAGCATACTATTTTGAAGTATATCTACTTTGTAATGTTTATCAATTGCTATTTCTCTTTTTTGAGAGAATTAATATTCCCATATACAACAGTTTATGCATTCATCAGTTGACAGTTGTTGTTGATAGGTGCCATTGAAGCAACTACAACTTAGGAGTGACCCAGTGAACCACAGATCTGAGTACCCTATTGTGTACCATCCTTACCATCCCTAATATATTTGAGTTAATTGCTCAAGTGACTGATCTATCTTGTTGAGGGTCTTCCTCTTTTTCATTGACCCTCCACTTTTCCAAGGCATGGTGTCCTTTTCCAAGTACTTGTCCCTTCTAGCAACATTCCAAAAATGTGAGACAGTTTCATCATCCTTGCTTTTGAGGAGCACTGTGGCTGCACTTTCTCCAAGATGTATTTGCTTGTTCTTTTGGCAGTTCTTTGACACCATGAATCAAAGGTACTGATTCTTCTCTGTCATCCTTATTTACTCATTGTTCAACTTTCAGATGCAGAGCAAGTAATCCAAAAGATCATGGCTTGGATCAGACACACCTTAGTCTGTAAACAGACATTACTGCTTCTCAGCATCTTGGAGAGTTCCTTCAATAGTAGGGTTTATGTCCACTCTTTGTCTTATGAATGGCTATGGTGAAACTTTACAGACATGTAGATTTTTTGAACTGATGTCATCGCTTTAGTTTTTATATGTATTATATCGCCATACGTCAAAAATCACACCAGTGTCAGAACTTTTGCTTTAAACTGTAACACCTTATAAAACTTAGAAAAGTTATCATTTCACTTGTTCTTCCTTTATTCCCAAAGATTAGTTTCAATTAGTATTCTCCTTCAGCCTGAAAAGTCATTAGTATTTCTTATAGAGAAAGGAATTTGACTACAAATTTTCTTACTTATCCTTCATAAAACTGGCTGAGCTTTGTTTCATTCCTAAGTGGTATTTTCACTGGGTATGAAATTCTGGATTGTCAGTTTTCCTTTTTAGTACTTTAAAGATGTTTGTTTGCCTTCTAGGTCAACATATGGTTTATTGTGGTGATAATTTATGTTGAGAAATGAGCAGATATTTGAATCATTTATCCCCTGGAAGTTAAAAGCCCTAATTTGGATCTTGTTTATTAATAACAAACGGTATCCATCATTCATCAGCATATAAGAAAAGTTAAAAAGGGGAAGGGAAGGAGGCAGGGCAGAGAGGAGGATATATACTAGGATAATAGAGTATGGTGAGCAGAGGAGGGGGGGTGAAGAATTAGGGGGAACCTGAAAAGAAGAGATAATATTAGGCATAGATCAATGGTGATTAATTTTATAGAGTGTAAATGTAAGAATATGTGAAGCACAGGGTACGTGAATGATGCAGAATATATACATATTTTTTGTATACAAACCAATGTAAAAGAAAAATAAAGTGAAAAAAGAAAATGTTTCTTGAATTTATATTTGATTAAGTGTTTAATAACAATATAAAACAAGTAGACTCATTATTGCTCTATTTTTATTAGATCTGAATTACACTCAATAGTTGTTAGTGTTTTTCTATTCTTATATAAAAATGCCAAGTGACTTTACGAGGCTTTAATAAAAAAGAAGCCATGCAGTACTTAGTTACTACAACAGTTGTCTGTATTCCAGTTTTCTAAAAGTATTCTTACACCCTTTCTTTTATATGAGCAATTCTCATCATCTTACTAAACAGTTATTTGTTATTGTTAAAACACATTCAGAAGAAATTGAGACAAAAGTAATCCTTGAAAATAGTCGGTTTTGTAATATTGTGATTGATGTTTAATTTCTACAGAAAGAATTAAATACAGCCGGGATTTCCTGTTGAAGCTCTCAAGTGTTTCCATCTGCAGAAAAAAACCAGACTTTCTGCCTGATCATCCTATTGTACTTAAAAAACCAGTAAGGAAAAGACCAATTTTATATTACTTTAATTTCATATATTTATCTCTAACATGCTTACTTGATTGTATGCTTACGATTTTTAACCTTTCTTCTTGTAAAATAAAATAAAAGTACATGAATCTAAATGTACACTATGACCAATTATTATGAAGTAATCACTTTTCTCCTCAGGAAATAGGTTAGCTGTGTTCCAGTTACACATACTTTTCTATCTGACAGATCATGAAAATAGATTTCTATGTTACTGTCTAAAACTCTATTGTTTGTTTTTTCAACTTAAGGACATGGGCTGTAGTGTGTCAGGAAGTGTGAGGATGGCACAGGTTGGGACAGGGTTCAGATCTGTAGTTCATAGGGTAGCTGTGTGTCAGACTCAGTTAGTGGCACCTAACAGCCAACAACAACATTAAAGGATGGGATCTGTTCCTTAATCTATAAAGACAAACTTTAATGCAACATAAAATATAATAACTTCTTCATTTTTCAGACTTTCCATCTTTACTAACATTTTATTTTATAATTAAAATCTTAACATACACAATGTTTGAACAATACTGGTATTTTGCATTTGCTTTTGTTTTATGCATTAATAACAACAGGTTTGAAATATAATTAAAATGAATTACACATACTTTATTAGACACTGAACAAATATTCTGCTATTTGGAAAATTCCAATTATTTTTTCTAACGGTAACATGCATTTCAATAAGTAAACACTTAAATTCACAGTATTTTGTTTGAAAACTAATTTAGTAAAACTTATAATCACTGTAATCACTTTCTTTTCTGTGTTGCAGGAAAACAACCAGAGTTTTAATTAGCATTTTAAGAACAGATGAATTTGAAGATAAAGAATTATTTGTTTTATATTTTGGACACCTACAAATGAAGTGGATCTAGTAACAATAACTGCATTGGATTGACTATTCAATTTATTTTTCATTTCAATAGTTGGCTTATTTGGGTTTTCCTAAAATGACAAAATATTTTAAACTATAAAGAATTTTCTAATCCGTTTCAGCCTTGAAGGCAGTTAACTGCATAAATTGGGAATGACACCAGAAAGTAGAAATTTGGTTAGTGAAGTGGGAATACTGTGTAATCTGCATGCTACTTGCAATTTTTCTTTTTCACTACTTGTAATAATGGAATAGAAATGCAAGCTGTAAAGATTCTCAAATATAAAGTCTTTGCTATGATGTATATATGGTATATAATTTTTTGTTGCTTTTAATGTTGCCTTTGTTCTATTTTTCACAGATTTCATGCCCACACTTGAAACAATGTATATCTCTCAGAGGCTTAGACTGACAAGATGTTCAATGCATAGTTATTTTGAGTGGAGAAAAAGAATTTTCAATAACATTTTGGACCAGATGTATTATGGAAGTGTAGGGTTTTACATTAACATTGCCTCATAATTACTACAGAGATTGTTAATTTGGAAACAGTAGTAAATGAAACTGGTTGAAAAATTTGTTACTAATCAGACTGTATGAATAGAATAAATTGGGCAATTGCAAAGATGGAACTGACACTTGCAAACAGTTCAAGTACATTAAATATAAATTCTGTAATTTCATATTTCAGGAACATTAATGGATGAATATTTTGGTTTAAACTTTTAATTCTGAAATTTTATAGATTGAAATCTGCCATTTGTCATTCTGGGTGTTACCTTTTTTTTTTTAATATAAATTTTCTTCCAGTACACACAGAAGTCCAGTTACTGAGGTAAGTGTAAACACTCTGACTCCTGTCTTCACAGATCCCCAGTCTTTTGGTGAGGAGTTGGAGGCCATTGTTTGGTGGAATGTTTTAGTCACAGAATCCTCAACCTCTGAAACTAGTGCTTTTTCTTCCCTGGATTTTGAGCTTGTCAGCAGAGTCAAGCAGTCCAGGTGGTTTTTTCATGTTGGTGTTTTATTACCTCATTGTATTAGTTGTACCAAAACAAAATGGATTCTTTTCTAAATAGAAAAATAATTCCCCCAACTTGATTAACCACAAGTTTATTAGTTAATTTAAAATGAAATATTTGTACATAGAGCCTAGTATTTTCATTTGCTTTTTGCACTATTTTCTTTTATATGATAATGGGTCCAAATGTACACTTGAGTATGAATACATACACACATTCAAAATACTCTCTTGCAAGTTTATATGTGAAAATATGTTTATAATTTGGATAAGTACTTGGGTGTTTATTGGTTTATATTATTTTTAAAATACAACCAAACTTAATTCCAATTTGAAAATTAGAAAGCCCAGCCACTTGATCACCATTTTTATTAAAGAAAGATCCTTTAGTCATGCTCCCAGGCTACTTTGGAAATTGCTTGGTACTCAAAATATGTGATAGGGTCTCTGAATTTGATACGGAAATGGAATGGCCAGAACAATGTTTTGATTTGTATATGCTTATTGGAAGCATGTATAACCACTGTTTTAAAGAAGAGGTTCTATGTGAAAAGTTTCCTAGGCTTCAAAGTAAGGTAATCCTTTCTTACTGTATTTAATCAAAGATTGAGACTGCAACGACTTTATTATCTACTTGCCTTTGTACATATGTATAGCCTGTTTGAATAATCATTGTACATCTTCATTACTGTTCTTTGCTTGTATGTAAATTAAACAGTTTCACCAGATTTTGTTTCACAGTGTTTGTCATTTCTGGACTATAACAAAACCTCCAAACCCACTGCTATCAAATTGGTTCAAATCCATAGTGACTCGATAAGACAGAGTAGAACTGTCGGCCTCTGAGTTTTCAAGGCTGAACCTTTGTAGAATGAGTCTGCCACATCTATCCACAGCGTGAAGCTGCTGGTGGGTTCTCTCAGCCTTTTGGTTAGTAACTAAGAATTTAACCACGGTGCCACCATGGTTCCTTTTTTAACTAGGTCCAAAAGATTACCATGTCCAGTAGGAAAAAAACCTCCAAAAAGATAAAAAAAAAACCAACCTAAATTTTAATTGGGTGAGATGAAGACTAATACAGTGTTGTTGTGCATTGCTGAGTTGGAACAAACTTGTATCTCCAGTGGGTTTTTAGAGGCAGTAAATTGCATTGGAGAAGATTGCCCACCTTTCTCCCATGCAGTGGATTGAAACCATGAACCTTTCGGTTGACAGTATAACTTTTTACCACTAAGCCACCAGAGTCCCCTGCATATATTGTTGTTGATTGACACTGAGTCAAGCACGACTCACAGTGACCCTGTGAACAAAAGGCCTTTCTATAACTATCATCATTTCTCCAAGTTCATAGTTTTCAGAGGCATGTGGATGCCACTCCTGCTTCCAAGCATATATGGTAAAAGTTAATATTACACAATTTAGTTTGAGAAACTTAATTTAGCAAATATTTTATAATTAAAAAATAGTTCAATATTCTGAGTTGTTGAATAGTGAAAAGAGGTGGGAAATGACAGTTTTTACCTAGAAAAGCTTCAGGCTGAAAGGAATTTGGACTAGAGAGTAACTGGTGCTAAATTCCTTTATGATATTTTTGTTAGAAGGATTTATAACAAAAAAATGATTTTATTAGTTAATATAAGAAGATTTTTAGCAGAGAGCTAGCCACGAACTGCTGTCATATCCACCAACTGCTTTGTGGTAGAAAGATGGATGGACAGTCTCCTACGATGTGATTTAGTTTCTAAAAATCCACTGGATGGTCAGCTCTGGATTGGATCCAACTTGATGGCACATTGCAACAATAACATATATACTTTTAGTTCTACAATCATTCAAGTGTTGAAATTGGAAAATAGTGCCTTGTGTCCACACTTTCTCAGACTGACTTTTTAAAAGATTTTTATTATCCTTCCATTTTTATTTAGGTTAAAACTTTGTTCTTAATGTATTTTTTTATATCTTTATTTAAAGGAAAATGTCATTTTTTCGTGAAAAATCAATATCACATATCAAAACTATATACCATAAATTGTGATCTAGATTCTTTCAAAGTAAAACTTTTCTGTTAATAAATATTAACTTATGTGCAGGTAATTATGATGCCAATAAATGATATAATAGTGTTGCATTACTAAATGTTGCCCAGAATTACCACAAAATTGTTCACTTACTATGAAAAACTAGTTTATGACCAACAATTCTTTATAGTCAAGATTTTTTTATGCTTTATCTTTTTAAGTGATAAAAAGTGAATACTCAGAGGATTATAAATGGAGAATGGACTAGGCATTAGTGATGAATAATAAAGTTCACCCACGGAAAATCAACTACATTAAAATCACAAAGCACCTACTTAACCTTTTATAATAGGTGACAGTCTGCAAAATCTGCCTACGCATTATTTTCTCCAAAGTTGTCAGTTTAAATATTTATGCTCCATATTAAAAATTTCTTTGCACAATCTTCTTTTGCCTATAATTTTTTTCACATATTAGGATTTTGCTGTTAAAGGGTTATAGAAAGCAAAACATTTAGCATCAAATACCATGAATATAATAGTGAACACTGGAAATTTAGCTAAAATTCACATGAATAAAAAAGTGAAACAGTACATTTTACAAGAATGCACGTCTTAGAATATATCTATTTAACAAAAGTATACAGTCAGTTTACCACAGAAGATTTTGTAATACACATTTGAAATAATTATTCTACACTGGAACCACAAAGAAAATACATAGGACTATCTAATTGTTCAGGATCCACCAAGAAGCTGAAAAGAGAGAAAAAAAAAATAAATAGTGGAACTAATGGTAATCTACAAGTTTATGCCAAGTTTTGGGATTTCCCTCCACCTATCCCCAAATACCATTCTCCTTTTATTTTTTGACACAGAAATCCAGGGGCAAGGAAGCATACATACCATTCTTAAAAATGACCACTTCTTCTCATTTCTTGGATTGCAAAATTACTTACTTTTCTGAACCCTATTGCCTATTTGAACCCAGATTGAATCAATCTTATGTGATTGTTTCAAGTCCCATTTCTTTTGACATTTGCTTGTACTCTAAAATGGTTTTATTTGAATAGAACTTATTTTGGCAATAGGGTTACAAATGCAGCGTAAATAAGGTCATATTGTAGTATTTAATATCAGGAGGTGCTTTTGAAGTATATAATAGTACATGTAAAGATATTTTTAAATAGGTCTACATTGTAAAACTAGAACTATGTTTCTTAATGAGTATAAATGTTCCAATAAGTGTATTGCAAAGATTGATAGCAATACTAGGAAAAGTAAAAACCAGAAAAGATTAAAATTTGTTTTTAAAGCCTTTTCATGACTATAATTTGCTGTCCACAGGATCTTTATTCCTTATGCATTGATTTACCTCAGTAATACAGGCCTTGCTCTTACTGCCAGGCAAAATACCGTTTCACAGACTTTATATACCCTTTTTATCTTGGAATTATTATGGCCCTGTTGTGGTGGTGGTGTATTGTTGAGTCAGAACTGACCTAAAGTTGACCTTCCAGTGGGTTTTTCAGAGGTAGTGAATTGGACAGGAGGAGATTGCCTATCTTGCATGGATTTGAACTGTGCTCTTTTAGGCTGGCAGTACAACCCCTTAGAACTAGGCTACCAGAGCTCACTTTTTATGGATCTACGTTACTATATTCCAGTATGCCTCATTTGAATGATCATTATATTTGAGAATTTCTAGAAATATAGTTTGTATTTTTCTATCTAATACAGTCTACTAGAAATTAATTTGTGAACTAGAAATGCAAACCTATGAAACCTATGTCTAAATGCAGTAGTCCTCATTTCATATTTTTTTATTTTAGGTTCAAGTTGTTGTTGTTGATTGCCTTTGAGTCGAGCATGACTCCTAGTGATGCTATGAACAAAAGGCCTGAAGCCCCTCTACAACTGTTGACATTTATCAAAGTTCATATTCCAGAGGCATGTTATTTAGGATGTGGATTCCAATACTGCTTCCTGTCATAGTACATTATTATTATGTGCCTTTGAGTCACCTGCAATGTATAGCGACACTATGTACAGAGTGCTGAACCATTCCTTGTCCTGAGCCAGTCTCACTAAAAACCCCATTGTCCCAGTCACTGTATCAATCCATCTCATCTGGGGTCTTCCTTTCTTGCGCTGTCCGTCCACCCTTCCAAGCATGATGTCCTTCTTCAAGGACCGATCTCTCCTGGCCGTGTGCCCAAAGTAAGGTCCAAGTAGGACTATCTAGTAAGATTTTAATTGTTTTTATTTCTAACCTTCATGAACATATAACCTGTAAAATGCTCAAAAATGGTTATTAAGAATCTGACTAGAAATCCTTAAAAATATTGTTAAAAAATATGGTTAAAAAAAGGTATAATATGGTCCATAAAACCATAAATAAAATTTATCTATGCTAACTCTGTTTTGTTAAGATGTGTACACAGTTGAAGCTAAGACTTTAAAATGGTGGGATGAGATGCCACAATCCAAAACCACAGAGACCATGAAGACAGAACAGGCCTTCTCTAAGAGGTTTCTAAAAGTGGAATCTTATGGAAGAAGAGAGTCACATCTTTCTCCCTTGAGGAAGCGAACTGGTTTGAACTACCAACCTTTCAGTTTGTAGCTGAGTTCTTTTACCATTGTGTTACCAGAGTTTCTTTGGATGACTTAATGGATATTAAAATTTGCTTGAAGATTTAAAAATTGTGTTACAAACACAGCTTTTCCCTTTTATTCTATCTAATTCTGGTAGTCATTATTTAAATTATATATGGTATGAAATTTATTTTCACCCCAAAATGATAGCATGTAAATCCATGAAATTGTGTTCAGGCCTTGTTACTCACCCACCAAAACACAAGAAACGAAACTTGTTACTGTCCAACTGATTCGTCTGACTCATGGCCTATATATAAAAACAGAACCTACCTCATAGGGTATCTGAGGCTTTAAATCTTAACAGAAGCAGACTGCTACCTCTCTTGGGTTTGACCACTAACCTTTTGATTTGAACACAAGTGTAGTAACCACTGTACAACTAGGCCTAGGGAATGAAAATTGATACAGTTCTAGAGTCTTTCAATTTTTATCTTAATGTAGAAAATACTCTTAAGACAGGAAGATTAAACAGTGTATGAATCAGTGACACTAATAGTGCATAGAAAGTTAATCCAAAGTAGTAACCCAAAATTTTCCTGCTAATTGCTTTTATTTTTTTATTTACTTATCCCTCTAATAACTCATTAGCTTTCTGTATTCTAGTTTAAGTATTTTCTGACCTACCAAGATAAGCTTCCTCCTATATTTTGAATTAATTTTAGCAGTTGGGAAAAGTTGATATGATGGTAGACACAGAAATAAACAATTATCAACTTCTAGAAATTTCCATAAGAAACCAGTGTATTATGATTATTTCAGTTTCCATATTTATTCCTTTATTTAGAAAATACTTGGATTTTTGTACCATACACTGCATTTGAGTACAAAAATGGAAATAAATTCAATACTGGATCATACTTTTTGTATTATTATATGTATAAAAGCTGAAGCAGCTACATTTATGAAAAGTACATGTATTATAGGCCTTTCCACTACAATGTTCTATTCAAGCTGAATATAGTTTCTGATAGAAAACTTTTGTGTAAATGTAAGGCAATCACTGAAGCTTACTTTTTAATAACCATGCTGCCACATTCTCATCTGTATCTTAAACTAATGGTGCATCATGTTTTAAACATTCTGAATAGAACTGTTAATCAAAAGAAATTGCAACTATATTTGTGACTATCCTGATTATTAAAAAGAATATGTACAGATAAGGAAATTCTATGAAATTTCCAAATATAGGCCAAATAAAGCTGTTCTACATGACCTATAATAAATACACAGCTGGAGCTCTCAATCTGACAACTGTAAAAACACTCATCTCATTTTACTCTAAGGTATTCATAAATGATCCTCTCCTATTGCCTCACAACTTCAGAATTTACTTTTTTTTTAAGAAAACCCACCCACCAGCTTTCATTGGTTCTCTAGTTCATCATTTCTGAACTTTTAAAAGTCCTCCAATTCTGTTAAACTGTTGTTTATTCTTTCCACCCATAAAAATATTTTATTAATGACTTATAATAAACCGAACAATTCTAATTTCCAGTGTATTCAGTACCCTAAATGGCAATATGGTACAATATTTGCAAAATCTTTTAAATAATCATGATTTGCCTTATACTAAAGACTTGCCTATTAAAATTTCTAGATGGCCAGTAGATAACTAATTTTAGATTTAATAGAACCATGAATACATTTTTTTTACTGAAGAATAAAGGCTATAACAAAAAAAAAATAGTCTCTTACATATCCCTACCCCCAAATGTCAAGATACTGACTGGAAAATACTAAAGAGACCACTACTTATAAAATGTAGGGGGTGGGGAGATCATAATACCTTTTTAACAGGGAAAAATATATAAAACCACACAATATATAGAAATTTTATATTCAAACCGATAAAACCACACAGTAGCATGTGAACCCAGGATAATTACCAGGGACGAGCATAGTGGATGTGAGTTCTGGAGTTTCCAAGAAATCCACGTTGCTTCTTTGGAATGTCTTGCTGTAATTTGTCTGAAGATGGCTGTATAAGTAATTACAAGTTAAGGCTGTGCATTTGCATTTACAGTCTTCCAACAGCATGCAGCAGTGATCAGATTCAATCAAGAGGGAATGTTTTGAATGATTTGGATGAAGCACCTTCAGAGATTGAGAGGCTCGTTTAACAGGTATTAAAGATACTGAAAAAGGCATCTTTATGAAATAAAACAATAGAAGGTAAGTTTTTACTGCAACAAAAAATTTAAACAATACTGTTTGGGCTCAAGTTAATTTAAGAAATAAAGAGATCTAAGAAAAGTACTTAAATTACCTACTTCTCTAGATTATTAGAAGAAATAAAAAGCATTTATCTTTTTATTCATTGCTCTTGAATAGATACTTAAAGCTGACCTACTAGCAAGTTTTCAGATGCTACAAATAGGAGATTACCCATCTTTTTCTTGTGGAGAACCTGGTGGATTTGAACTGCTATCCTTTAGGTTGCCAGCACAATTCCTAACCCACAAAGCCATCAGCTTTCTGAAGTAGTGTTGATATGGAAAAACTAACATCAGTAATAACATCATTGCATTTCCTTTCTGTGCTTAAAATTCTGCAGGTCTCAATGTGCCTTAATTTAAAAAGTACCTTCAAAAAAGTCACAAAAAATTTAGGTGAAATAGGTATTACCTGAATTTCCAGACATTTAATTACATCCAATACCATATTTAAGACACACACACACACACTCTCACACACTCTTTCTCTCCTAAATATGGACTCACTGAAGAGCTCTTTGTGTGCCATTTAAAAACAACTAGGACTATTTTCTACAATCTTGAGATAGCAAAAAATGTCTTTATCCCATTCTAATATTTTTTTATAAGTAATGATTTTCATTTCAGAAAAATGGATTACAGCGCCTAAATTCTACCTTTATTTTCAATGTCTAAAGATACTTAGCAAAGTTGGTAGGCCTTGATGATCTTAACTAGTTTGTCTAGATATCTTTGTAAAATAGGAATGACACCTTATTTATGGGAATTTGATAGGTGAAGACCTTGTCTGGTCCATTACCTTCGACAGAATTGGCCTTTAGCTAAACTATACCTAAAAGCATGAGTAAAATGGTAAAGACTTGAAGTTAGATCCTGAGAAAAAAGTATTTATGCTTCAAGAGGAAAAACTATGAAAGAAATTTCAAAATATGTGGGATTCAGGATAATGAGTAAATGAGGCAGGTTTTAGAGAATGGAGTTTTTCCTACAAATCCAAAATTTACATTTGGTAGATTGTTACTTACGTGGCTTCACAAAAATTCATCCCTGCTGAAACTTACCTATTCCATACACTACTATTCTCCCAGAACTCATAAATCATGTAGCGAGATTCATTTGACAGCTTCTGAATAGAAATACTGGAATGGAAAAGAAAAGGTATAATTAGCCAGAGGAAACAGAAAGTCAAGAAGCACACTAGTTTTCATTGTCATTTCTATGTAGCAGGAAAGTCTTATCCATTGGTATGTTGTTATGTGCCGTAGTGTCACCTGCGGCTCACAGCAACCCCATGTACGATAGCTCTGAAGCCTGCCTAGTCCTGAGCCAGTCTCACTGACTCTGACACGCCTACCCTTATTGCCCCAGTTACTGTATCAATTCTCATCTGGGGTCTTCTCCTGTGCTGTCTCTCCACTCTTCTAAGCATGTCCTTCTCTGAGGATGTCTCCCCCTGGCCACATGCCCAAAGTGTGTGAGATGGAACTTTAAAATCCTAGCCTCCAGATAAAGGTAAATAATCCATTTGATAAATGGGCACAGGATATGAACAGACACTTCACCAAAGAAGACATTCAGATGGCTAACAAGCACATGAAGAAATGTTCAAAATCCCTAGCTCTAAGAGAGATGCAAATCAAGACAACTATGAGATATTATCTCACCCCAGTAAGAAGGGCAAAATTTAACAGAACAGCAAGCAACAAATGCTGGCAAGGTTGTGGAGAGACTGGAACTCTTAATCACTGTTGTTGGAAGTATAAAATGGTCCAACCACTATGGAAAGTGGTGTGGCGCTTTCTCAAAAAGTGCAAATTAGAGATACCATTTGACCCAGCAATTCCATTACTGGGAATAGACCCTAAAGAGACCATAACTGCCATCCAAGCAGATAACAAGCACACCTATGTTTATTGCAGCTTTGTTCACAATAGCAAGGAGTTGGAAGCAACCTAAGTGCCCATCAACAAATGAATGGTTAGAGAAGCTGTCTGTGGTATATTCACACAATGGAATACTATGCTGCATTGAAAAACAAGGAACTCATGCAATATTATTCAAAATGGGTGACCCTGGAGGACATTATGCTGAGTGAAATATCTCAACCACAAAATGATAAATACCATATGCTGCCACTCTTGTAGAATGAGGCTGACATCAGGGTGGGGTTAAGACTGAGAAAAACTGGATAAATTATGTGTACTGCATTGAGGCCTAATGAGGGAGAGAACAGTTTAAAAGTAATATATTTTAGGGCTTATGATTATCATAAGAGTTCGGAATGAGGGTTACAGAGTGGAGTATACTTGGTGTTAGGGTCGGGGGTGTTGGGGGATTGTATACCAATGAAGGAGTTTTGATTTTAAAGAATAGCGAACTGGGAGTGGGGGTGGGGTGGGCAGGGAGAAAAGTGCAACAATGAATGAATGGAAATCCAAAATCTCTGTAAATGTTCATGGAAATGTAAAAAAAAAAAAAATACTACTACAGAGAAGGCAAAAAATAAAATCTGAAACTAAAAAAAAAAAAAAGTAGTGCGCAAATGAGAAACGAGGAGAAACAGCTGCAGACAGCCACTAATAAATGGAGATGTGGAATGTATGAGGTATGAATATAGGAAAACTGGAGGTTTTAAGACAATGAAATGGAATGTAGCAATGAGGAAGCCTTAAAAGGTTTCCAAAAAAATAAAAGGTTTCCCCCTCTTAATATTAAAACTTAATATTAAAACAACAACAACAATATTAAAATAGGATGGTTTTTCATTCTCAGAAGATAATGTGGTTATTATTTTTTTCAATCTTCATTCTCTTTGTTCTTGGGTATCAACAATTAGATTCCAACTCATAGCAACCCCAGATGACAGGACAGAAAGGCCCTCAGAGGGTTTTCTTTGCCAAAGTGGATAACCAGGCCTTTTCACCCAGAGCTGCTGAGAGAGCTTGAGCTGCCATTTTTGTTAACAGCTGAGTTACCTAAGCTTTGTGCCACGTTGCTCTTTGATGTTTAATGCTTTAAAGCAGTGAGAGAAGCATGGTTCAAGCTCTTCAGATGGCAGTAGAAGGAATGGTATAGAAGGCAGATACACAAAATACGAAGGCGAACAGTAAATGAGTTAAACAACTCAGATGACAGAGTGAAAGTTGATTCTAAGACACTTCTGGGGTGGTCACTATTGGTCAAGGTGTTGGATTTATGTTCCAATAGGCTAAACCCTGAGCGGGTCCCAACCCATTCTTTGTAGATTAACTTTTCTTCTCCAGATTCCTTCCCAGACTAAGGTTGAGACAAAAGGCGACAGACAGAAGTATCAATTGGTAAACTCTAGGCAGAGTGGGTGTCTAAAATAAAGATGTCTTAGAAATACTAATCTCATAAATCTTGCTTGTTCAGCATAATATTTCACAATAGTCAAATTATAGAGCAACATGTGAGGCTAGAATCACAAACATTGAGGAAACAGGTAACAGTATACTAGGAAAACACCAAAATTAATACACATATGTGTATGTGAGAGATGTGTACATGCATGTATATATATGGATGTATACATGTCTATATATGAATGTATGTTGTTCTTATGTGCCATTGAGTCGCTTGTGACTCATAGCAACCCTATGTACAAGAGCTCTAAATGCTGTTCTATCCTGTGCCAACCTAGCCATCTCAAACACACTTTTTCCCACCACTCCAGTCACAGAATCAATCCATCTCATCGAAGGTCTTCCTCTCCTTCGCCACCCCTCCACTCTGCCAAACATGATATCCCTCTCCAAGGACCAGTTCCTCCTTGCAACATGCCCAAAGTATGTCAGATGAAGCTGCAGAATCCTTGACTCCAAGGAGCATTCTGGCTTCACCTTCTCCAGGATAAACCTGTTTGTTCTCCTAGCAGTCCATGGTATATTCAACACTCATCTCCAGCACCACAGCTCAAAGGCATCAGTTCTCTTTCTATCAACCCTAGTCACTGTTCAACTCTGATGTATAGCATGTAACTGCGAAGAATATAGCCTGGATCAGGCGCACCTTAGTCTCCAGTCTGATGTCATTGCTCTTCAGTACTCTTGAGAGGTCCCTCACAGCTGACTTTCCCAATGCAATTCTTCTCTTGATTTCCTGGCTGCTGTTACCAAGAGTGTTGATTGTGGAGCCAAGCAAACTAAAAGTGTTAACTATAACAATCT